GCGTCTTATAATGACTTATGACTTCAATACAGGTAGATGAAATCCAGCGTTCTGATTGGTTGAGAGTGAGTCACATTATGTACCTGCTCACATTGACCCACTCAAAGTAACAGCTTGGATTTTGATCTAGATTAGATTGAAACATGAACGGGATCAAAGCAGACGTCGTGCGTCCAGCATATGGGTCTGTTTGCCATTAGGTCGGTCGTCGTGGCGCAGGGGTTAGAGAAGGTGTGCTGGGAAGCACAAGGTTGGTGGTTCGATTCCAGGCTGCCTCATGTTCCACGTCGAAGTGTCCCTGAGCAAGACACCTAACCCCTAATTGCTCTCCAGGCAAAACTGTGAAAAAGCCACGGGTTTAAAGTGTAATGTAAGTCGCTTTGGATAAAAGCGTCTGCTAAATGACCTGTAATGTAATGTAATGTAATGTCTCAACAGGAAGTGGACGTCTCTGTCTTCTTTACAGCTCACTGGTCTGATGGAGCGCCTCGTTATATCATGTAAACGTCTGCGCGGTGTCTTTTACATGTACAATTGTCCACTGCTCTCAGCACACGCGTGTGCACACACGTTGGCCAGTTAGCTAACGCTCCCGCCCCCCCCCCCCCCGTCAACGAATGACTCGAAGAAATCTCTGGGACAAAACCAGTTGAAAACCCCTAGAGGGGTAATATCCTTCTCGCCTCTTTCCCCCTTGACCCGTTTTCCTGCCTGGTATCTATTGTACCTGGTGAAGTAGGTCGCTGTGCACATCCAGCATAACCGCCGCTCCTATTCTCCTCCTCATTGGTTGTTTTACTTCCTGGTCAGCACATTGTCTGTCCCCATTGTAGGCGGACACACTGCAGACCGGTTTCTGAAGACGGCGGCAGTCCCACTCGGTTTCTCATGTCCTCATCAATTGCCTTATTCCACCTGTTAAACGTGGCCAACAAGCCCCTGAGCTCGTGGTGCCAAGCATCTGTTACAGATGCACAGCTGATTACGGTGCCGTTAATGATTTGTTCTTGAGAGCCATTCAATTAATTTGAGATTAAATAATAATGTGTCAGTGCTTTCTATGAATAGCACAAAGTAAAAGAAGCAGCAAGAGTCACATCAAAGAAATTAGAAGAAAGAGGCATTCTGGCTGGACCAACCGTGTCCTGTCCTGCTGCCTCTGGCCAGAGACCCCGGGGGCTCCGCTGCTCAGGGCCTCAATAGCAAAGCCTGGGCGTCCACACTACGGACTGAGCTACTGCCCCTCTTGTCTGGAGATGTGTGCTAGTACGACACCTGGAAAACACATCGCTGGAGTCACTGCAGGTCATTTTATTCTGTATAGTCCAAAATTACAAATCAGAAATGTACCATTTTACCATCCGGATGAAAACTCGCCAAAAATGAAGGATTGTCGAAGTCAGTTTGGTGGACTGACCGTCTCTCTGGTCTGCCCCCAAATGTCTTGTTTTGGCCTTCATGCTCCCCAGAGGACGAACCCTTCTGACTAGTGATCCTGTGACTTCTCGTCCTTGTCTCAGACCCAAACCCTAAAGCAGGGCCCCTCTAAGCGTCTGTCTGTCTGTGTCGAGGGGATTCTGGAGCGGGCGGGTCGAGTTCTGCCAACACATCTTCTGTCGTACCTTTGACTCTAGTGGAGAAATATCTGCTTTGAGAGACAGTGGCTCTGTGTTCCAGGGCCGACAGAACTATTCTTGATCTCAAAAAAGAAAGAATCACGTTTAAAGGCTTTTATAATCAGATACCTTTGATGGAGTCTGCGTGTTTATGAACAATAGAAAAACAGATTGTATTTATTTTTGTTTCTTCACAGCTCCATCGAGACGTGGCGACCTCCAGATTTTGGGGTTTTGTCTTCTTCACTGGTTGTGCGGCTCTCTGCCTTGGAATAAACTTGTCAAGAAGCCGACTGAGGTGCAGGAGGCCAAGCAGAGGTGGGTGGACGTTATCGCTGCGTGGACCAGATCATCTGCAAAGCTTCGATGGTTCAGCGTTGCAATGAAAGTTGTTGAATTCCTCTTGGAACCTACCTGGCTGTCATCGTCGTGTGGGAGCCCCTCGGTTCTTGGCCTCCACCTCTCATAAGCTGTCCGTCTCCACTTTCCCTTCCCTCAGACTCATGGACAATCTGCCAGACTCCGTCCAGCATCTGTCAGTCGGTGGAGCCAGCACAGGTAAGCCAGGACCTCGGTTAGGCTTCTTCACAAAATGACATCTCCTGCTCTTCTGGCGCACGTGGGGCCACTTCAATGAGTTCACAATGAGCACTCTATTTTGGAATGGCTCTTGATTTCTCACTTTCTATCACTTAATCTGTTGTATAACTGCTAATTTTGGCCAAATTTGCCATGTTTGGAATCAAAATATGTACTGAACCCTGTGTGTAGACATGCGCCCCCATCTGCAGTCGTCCACAGTTCCACTAAACAAGCATGAAAAGTAAGGAAAGTTGTTGTGTGCTTCTTGGCTATAAATCTTCTACTGAAAGCCTCTTTATTTCTCTTTCCAAATGATGCCACATTAGTGAGTAACTATGAGGTCAGACGTCTTGAGACTTATTTAGCGTTTGGAAGAACCCCACACAGCCACAGCCCCCCTCCTCCTGCCGGCCACTCTGTGCTGTGCGTTGTCCCCCCATTCTTCAAAAAGCATTTGTTCTGCATTCAGCATTATTGCAGCTGAAAGTCTGTCTGCGAGCGACGGATACTGAATGTCCAGATACTGCGTCCTCAGACCAGCTGGCGTCCTTCCTCAGCTACGTGAAGACTCTGGGCTACACGGACAGGCCGGACTACCGGCACCTCAAGCAGCTGTTGGCCAGCGCCGGCCCAGGACGACTGGGCCTCTCTGTGCCGCGAGACCCCCCCGCCAGGGAGAAGGTGAGCATGCTGATGTCTTCTTGTAGTCCGCTCTGGATGCAATGTGTTATGAGTATTTCTCAGTGACCGCTCCGTCACAAAGATGGCCGTCTCCTCTGTCGAGTCTCTTGACCCCTCCAGAGTGGAGAAACCTACCTGACGGGGGTAAAAGGGGAGGGTTAACCTGCACCCCACCCCCAGTGAGTGTCAACCGGGTCTGAAGCTGGAGGAGGACTGTGATTCACCTCAAATTTACCAGGTCCACTTCTTGACCCCCCCGAGCCCAGCGAGCCCCTCTCAATGGCCCAATCTGAGGAAGTTGATGACACTCTCTGGCGTGGCTCCAATTATGCTGCTGATTTCCTCTCTGCTCCTCGTGTCATTCCATTTCCACGCTAAAGTGGGGGCCAGTTTGATCCCTAGTTAAACACAAGTGGGCGCTTAGCGCGCAGAGTAAATGTCAGCGGAGATAAAGGCCGTTCAGCGCCGCGTGCACTGAATAAATGTGTGATCTCCTTGAAGGAAAGTTGGATTGAAGTAGTTAAACTATCAGCTGTCCAGTAAAACGCTGTCTCCACAGACCTCCACGGATGAAGAACACAAGACCAGACCTGTTCCAGCTCGCTACATGAGAGGACCCCCCCCCACTAAGCCTCGGTCCCAACAGGTAGGGTCTGACACCAGCCAATGCTCCCCTCCCCCCTCCCAGGGAACCCCAACCCACTTCCTCCATGTGTGCTCTGGCGTGCCCCCGTTACCCGGTGGGTCCCGTGTCCCGTGTCTCTTCACCAGCTGCACACAACAAGACGCAGTCACACGTGTTCAATAATCAACTGCTTTGCTCACAGAGCGACGACGCAGCCGGCAGATCATTGAGACCAAGACCCGTGGTGGCTTATGGAGAAGATGACAGTGAGGAGGAGGAGGCCCGACCCAAACCCGTCCCTGATTGTTACCTGCGAGGCTCCTCGATTGGCTCCAGAGATCAGCCCAAACAGGTGTGAGGACGAGATGGCAAAGCAGCAGCTTTTTATTTCCTGTAATAACTTGATAATAACAAGCATTATAATAAGCAAGTTGTCCGACTCGTTGTTCCAAAGACCCCCCCCAGCCCACTCCCCAGTACACAACGCTTGATTACTCTTTGACAGAGGACGGATCGCACCTGGAAGGGCAGGAAACACACACGGCCGACGCACCACAGGGGGCCCCCCCCCCACCACCAGCAGCACCGCAGGGGGGCGGAGCTCCGAGAGCCCTGGTCGACCCCCTCGGACCAGCGAGGGCTCCGTGGGTGGGGGTATGGCACCAGCCTCTGCTGGGAACACAGACGGGGCTCTGGTGAAAGGGGGGGGTCCGCTCTCGGGGGTCTGGAACAGGAAGCTGGCCCATGGGGGAGGGGCCTGTGGACCCGGCTGGTGTACGTGAGCGTCCTGCTCTTCCTGGGGCTGGTCCTCGCTGTATGAACCCCGCGTCCTCAGCACTGCTGGGGGGCCATCTTCACCGTGATGGGCTGATAGAACAGCACAAGGACAGCCCCCACCCTGCTCGTTAGATGCATTTGAATAGACACACCAAACACATTCTGTCCAAAACGCTGCCCCCCCCACGCACCTTGCTGCAGTAAGGACACTCTCCGAAGACCATGTAGAAGCTTTGCCGGCTGGAGGGGAGCGCTCGCAGCCACTGGGGGGGGCAGAGAGAGGAGCGCTTGTTTCAACACTCACTGCTGAAGATGATCAGACACATGACAGCATTTACTGCAGAGGACCACTGTGTCCCAAGGCCGTGCTGCTGAATGTGGGGACAGCGTTGGCACTTCAAATGAGATCAGAGTGAAGAGTCGTTGTTCAACATCATCACACGTGTGTAAAAAATACAACAAACAAGTGTCTAAAATACACGTTTTCTTAAGTGATTCTTTTGTACATTTCATGATGGGCTGAAGACCACGGAGGAGGGTGGGTGGTGGGGGGACAGGAGTGTGGGTGGTGGGGGGGACAGGAGGGTGGGTGGTGGGGGGACAGGAGGGTGGGGCTGTCAATTGCTCAAATGGCGTTTGAATATTGGCTTTAAAAAACACATTTGAATATCTGGTTGCGCGTTAGTCAATAACAGGACAAATTAATACAACGAGACAGAACTACTTGTATAGGTCATTTAACTTTAAACAGATGTAACAACATATTACCTACAAAAATATTCTCATCCCACATGTCAGGCTAAATTCAGTAATTGAAACTTTGAAGTTTTACAGCTGTGGTGTAAACGTTTCATTGGCATGAAACGGCAGATAATCAAACCAGTGCATGAAGCTGTTGTAGACATCTAGTTGTTTTTTACATTGGAATATTCATTTTCACATTCCAATAGTTGTTTTTAAGAATAGCACGAATGTATTGAGGGTTTCTGTGCTCGCTCAAAGCCACCAGACTGCATCAACAACAAGGGTTGTTTTACTTTAACACACACGCACTGTGCCACAATTACACAACCGTCAAGCAACCATCACGTCTAATTCAATTTCTAATCAGCGCGCCCACCGACAACCAACGAGCAGAAGGGAAACCTCAGAATTATAATCGGCCCCCAAAAAGCAGTCGGCTGACCCCGCCCCTGTGAGCGCCCCGGTCAAACTAATCAAACTGCCTCATGTTCTGTGAATGGGCTCCAACTAGTGAGCTTTGTGGGGAGTGTGGACAGGTTCTACCCAGCCGGGGGTCAATCGGGTAGTGGTCACATGGTTTGGGAGAACGCCTCAATTATGCTGCTTGCTTTTATCTTTGGTTTTCATTCCTTTTCTGAAAATGTCCGTTGTTTAATGGAGGGAAGCAGCGAGAAGGACGTACCTCATACAGACAGGCCTGATGGAAGGGCTGACCACAGCGCGGCTCGTTGCACACCTGATCGGGGACGGCAGACTCAAGGCGATAGGAGTAGCAGATCCCACACTCAGTGCTGAAACTCTACACACACACACACACACACACACACACACACACACACACACAGGATTAGGTCCCTTGTAACCACTTAGTTAGTGTTGAACCCCCCCAGCAACTTTCCCACCGTCACGCTTGCTTTTCTTTTTACTCGTTTGCATTTTCGGCATAATGAGAAGCTCCGGTTTTCTCTTTTTTCTCAGCTATCCATTAAGAGGGTGGCAGGTAAAAAAATTTAAAAATAAACACATCTGGTCAACCCAACTCTTTTGCTCTCCCCTGAATGTTAATGAAGCTGAGGCATTAATCACCGTGGCGACAGCGGATAAACAGCGACCTTTTGACCCCTCGGCGGAGGGGGAAAGAACGAGTGTTTCAATAATAAGAGAGATAAATAGCTTTGCGTGATTAAAGCGATCTGATTGTGCATTGAATTCTGCCATCTTTGTTATTCTAATGATCTAGTCTGTAAACAACCCAATTAAAAAAGGAGAATTTGTGCCCGCCGTGAAAAACGAAACCTGGGAATATGGAAATGGACAGAAACATAGGAGGTGGCGTGTGTCCGCCCACTGAAGACTCCAAGCTCAAACGCTATGCATGCATAGATGTAAACACACGCAGCTCCTCGAGGTACTCGTGATGGGAACGGACATGTTTGAAATGGAAAAGGGGGGCAGCCGTGTCACGTACAGATTTTTCGTGGGTGGCGGGTGACGGGAATTCGATCTCCAAAACATCCCGGAGGTTGTGCAAGACGCCGGAGTCCAGGTTCCTGCCAGCAGACCACAGACAGCTCCGTCACACACCAATTAACCACATGCAGATGAGCCTGCAGAGACACTGGGGGACGGTCAGGACACCTCCACCACTGGTGGGAATCAGCTCTGCTGCAAACTGAGGAGGGCGGTGGGTGGAGGCTCCTCAGAGGTCAGGAAACAAGGTGCACTGGTTTGGTTTCTACTTCTGACTCAGTCAGCGTGGAACTAGACAACATGCTGCAGGCGAAAGAATCCACAAAACACAGAAACCAACCGTGAAAGAGTGTGTGTGTGTGTGTGTGCGCTTCCTTTCATTGATGGACCAAGAGACTTTTCTTTTGAATGAGCTACAGACTTCTTCATATTATACGGTTACATTGTATACTAGAATATTCTTGTCTGATACACTTTACTGTGACACGTGTTCATGGCATACGATTCATTTACACACACACATCTTTTTTTTAACAAGCCCTGCAAAATCCGTTGCTGCAGACTGCTGCAGGCTGTAACACGTAGTATAGGTGTGAAGTGTGTACTCCAGCTATGGGAGTCATGCATAGTGTGACGCATTGATCGGTGGGAAACTAGGACAGTTCTTTGTTAAGAGCTTTGACATGTCCACTAGAACTTTATAGTCACAGACTGAGCCGATAAAACATAAATCCACTAAACTAAAAAAAAAAGAAAAGCACAACGTTTTACAAAAGAAAACATTTAAACCAATTTAAAAATGCTCTTTCACGTTGTGTGATGTGAATCTTACCACAGGTGCATGTTGGCGTTCAGCTTATTCCTCAGCGGAGTCACCGCTGCAACAACACAACACAGGCCTTCAGTCTGGGGACCAGCAATAAACGCCCTGTATGGCATTCCATCCACACTTAGGATGTACATTATTAGAATATATAGCGGGGAGAACAAGTATCTGATACACTG